GTGGTATTTCTAGCTGAGATTTAACCTATAAAGGTTAGGAAAGGTTTAAAATTATGGTCTTGCTTTTAAGTTAAATTATTGATGAAACTTATTTAAATACACTTCCCATGAATGGAGAAAGTCAACTTTTATAGCAAGCGGGCAGGTTGAATGAACAAGGTTTTAAAATGTGCTTGTGGAAGACTTTAAAGCCATACTTTTAGAGAACATTTGTTCCAGGTTTTTTTTCCTAACACATTTTTTTTCCAACTCTTATCTGTCAAATGCTATAAATCTAAGTCTTCTAAAATTGAAATGTTCCCAGTGACTGACCTTGATTAAGTGTTGAAGTGCTGTTGATGTCACCTGAGATAAAGGAAGATTCCGATTGTTTTCTCACAGTGTCGTTCCACATCCTTCTTATACGGCTCTGTTAATGCAAGCAGGGAAAAATAAACATGGTGTTTTAAGTTGCAAAAAGCCTTTTTTTCTCATTCAGTGCCATCATGTGAAGCATTCACATAGCTTCTGACTTTCCACTAAATAATTTCTTTGGCTCAAAGTGAATCTATGGCTCCTTTTTTATAAAAAGTCTAATCTAGTAAAATCCAGTTAGATAAAACACAATGGTACCCTTGCCACAAACCAGTTCCCTAATAACAAAATAAGATGAAGTTTGCATAGGAACAAACTGAAAATAAACCTTGCAGAAATGTTTAAAAAGAAAACAATCCTACCACATAAAAGCCTGTACTTGCCATTTAGATGGTTATAATGAGAAGACAATTAGTGCATATGAATGGAACATATCTCAGTAGGCTTTTTATAAATAAGGTTAATTAAAAGATGCTGTCAAGTCTGTGTTACCTGAGTGCCAGAGGAATAGCGAGCACTAGTTCTTGTTGTTGATGCCTTCACTGAACTGTGGGGGCTCTCAGTTGGCAGTCCACCACAGCAGTAGGAATGCCGAAAGCACTTGCCATATTCCTTACGTACCTGTAGACACACATTTGGGGAATTTAAAATACAGATATATAGGTATATCTATATATGTATAGCTGATAATGTTTCCATTGGGAACAGGAAGTAATCTTGCATTTCAAATATTTCTCAAGCAAGGAAACGGCTTACAGTTCATGTGTACTGAAATCCTGACCACTATCTAAAAAAATGGCAGACATTTTTCAGGCGTGCACTATTATTGAATGAAGCTTATTTGCCATTCACCACCTCTTAATACATTTTAAACAAATTCTTTTATAGAGTCACAATGAAAGAAACATGAAAATCAAGCTGCTGCACATCTTTACATAATTCTGTATGTAAACTCTTTATAATACTATGATTGTTTTTACACAGGAATAAGTAAAATATTATGATGCGAGAATTCCCTCTCCTAAATCCCTCACTTCCTCTACGTTTTGTTGCATTTGTTTTTGGTGCAGAGGCCTGTCTTCCTATCCCTGAATAATGGCTATGGTGATGCAATTGGCATTCACGCATGAAAGCTAACCATATAATTTACCACCTTCCTGAAAACCAATGGGTTTTCAATTGAAACAAACAAACAAACTTTCAACCAACTGAAACTAACAAACTTTTATACAAATCTTACTATATCCAAGCAAGCTGCTGCTAATTAAGATAGCCACACCTCCGTCAGTGGTGTATGATCCTAACAAATAAAACGGATCAAATCTATGAAGAGGGACCAACTACATCAGTAGATCTCCTACTGTTA